TTTTTTGGAATTCTAGCTGTAAAATCCTACTTTTGGTCACTCATTCCTGAGCCAGGACCTCCCCTTTCCCCGCTGCAGCTCTCACCTCTTTCACTTTGAGGGGTCTCCCTCCGAGGCTGTGCTTGTTGAGGACCTCGGCCGCCTTCTTCATGCTCTCCTCCATCTTGAACTCCACCACCCTGCGGGGACACGGAGCCTCAGGGGAGGGTTTGGATATCAAAATGTACGGATTCACCTCACAAAACATACGGATTCACCTCATTAAACATACGGATTCACCTCAGAGAGAGGGGAAGGGCGAGCTCAGAAATGCAGATGGGTAAAAAAAGGGACTTGTGCACATTAACATATGGCAGGTAGAAAGTGTACACATATCAAGAGATATATTTATTTTTAAAAATGAACTTGTGCACGTATTAAAATATACGTATATATAAAGCGTACACAAATGCATATTTTTATTTTTAAAAACGAACTTGTGCACATACTAAAACATGGGTGCATAAAGTGTAGACTTGTAATAATAAATAAAATAACATAAACAGAAAAATATGTTTCTTAAAAATGAGCTCGTGCACGTATTAAAATATAAGGAGCAACATCATAGAGAAAGTGTGAACATATAAACTATTATAAACTACTATATCTATTTCTTGAAAACAAACTGGTGCACATATTAGAATATATGGATTCATGTAATGTATAAAATGTGGGCATATTTTTATTTCTAAAAAATGAACTTGTGCACATATTAATATATGGATGCATATGATATAAAGTATGGACATATAAATATATATTTATTTCTACAAAATGAACTTGGGCACATATTAATGCAAGTAATATATTAAGTGCAGACATATAAATACATGTATTTCTTTCTAAAAAATGAACTTTTGCATTCTATCTCCCCACAGTACCATCCATATCTACTTGGATTTTGTGGTGCAATGCTCAGTCTGTTCCACTTAGAACTTTGATTTAACTGAGGGCAAGGCTCAATTTTATATTCAATCTGAAGGACTAAAACTTGATTTAATAAGTAAAGACTAAAACTTAGGGAGGGGGGATTTGAAGAGAAGCAGAAAACCCCCCAAAAAATGAACTTACGCGCATCCCTGAGGAGCAGATCCCACAGGTCAGGGCCAGGGAGGAGAGGAGGGAAGAAAACAGAGACACAAGTCAGCAAAAACCCCCCAAACACCCCCCAAAAACCTATTCCTTTCCGAGTCAAACCACATGAGCTGGCCCCTGCCAGCGAGAATAAAAATGGAGCCTCAACACAATAAAACCTCCGAGACTTCCACTCCCTAAAAATTTCCGCCAGAGGGTTAAAAAAATCTGGGATTTCTCTCAGCCCGAATTCTCCTCCGAGAAAAATAAAACCACGCGCTCCACGTGACCTGCACACCAAAACCCTACGTATCCATAGCCTCCAGGACGCTCCCAGTTTTCTCCTTCCCTGCTGGAATTCTGGGCTTACGAGAGGGGGGGGGTTTGACCTCGCTCTGCTGGCCCAGCCAGTGTGGAATTTTACCACTTTCCCGCTTTTCCAAATGCAGCCAAAACCGCTCGAGTTTTCCAAGCCACGGAGAGAAAATATTCCCGCTCGCTCTCTCTCTCCTAATCCACCTGCCACTGGGCTCCAGGGGGAAGGAGGACGGGGTGGGGGGGGGGAAAAAAGGGGGGAAAAAAAAAGAGGGGGAAAATCC